CGTATCTAAAAGTATGAGACAACAACAAACAAAAAACATAGGCCTACCATTAAAAGCCATGCTTGCACAGGTTCTGTACGATCCTCTTCAATAATATCCTCTGCTTCTCAATCGAGCTCAAACTGATAAGTGATATTAACGATGCCGTTGTTTACAATACAACCGGAGCACATACCGCTGAGGGGAGGGGCGGGATGTTTAGACGCGCACTAGAGGTGGTTTAGCCAATCACAACACACTGGGCAAGCTAACCAATCAGAGCCCATCGCCTATTTCTGATGGCAGGGCTTCATAAAAGCAGGAAATGATCAGCACGGTTCTCAGAGAAGGGACAGAGCGGTGTAGAATAAAGGTAAATTATGTGAAAAATAATGCGGTTTTTTTTAAACGAAGCATTAAAGGGGTCATCGGATGCCCATTTTCTACAAGTTGATATGATTCTTTAAGGTCTTAATGAAAAGTCTATAACATACTTTGGTTAAAATTTCTCAATGGTAATGTAAAAAACACCCTTTTTACCCTGTCAAAAGGGTAAAAGGGTTTTTACTCTGTCTAGTCCATGTTGCTTTAAATGCTAATGAGCTCTGCTCACACCGCCCCTCTCTTCTGTGGGTGACAGCAGTACTGTTTACTTTAGACGCAAAACTGGCTAACTAGCACATATTAGGAAAGGCGATTTGCAAAGATTCATAAAAAACCTTATACTCACTTCTTCTGTAGATAAAGCTAGATCACGAATGATTCGCGCAAACTTAAATGCATGACAGCTCACTCAGGGCAGGTCTAAGGTAAGACGGCCTTGTCAATCAACTATCGTGGGAGGGGCCTGTGCAGAACTATGTCATTCTGACAGGAATCTCAGAACAGCCTGATTTGAGAAAGGGGATTTTAAAATAGGGATTTAAAATAAATAAAAATACTTCCAACACACATTTATGTTCAAACAACAACAAAAGTGAATTTTGAATCCGATGGCCCCTTTAATCAGTGTACCATGTAATAAGTTCAATGTATTTTTATTTAACCGACTGTTTTTCTGCATAGCTCATGGTCTACAATGCTTCAAGGCTACAATAGAAGAGAATGAGTGGAATGTGCTCAGATCACGCATAGTGCCAGCATGACTGTTCAGCAGACCCTGCAGCCTGTGGTGCATTAGAATGCAAAGCATACCAGTGAGAGGATGAGTGTGAGGCGGAGAATTAGAGAGAAAGAAAAAGAGAGAAAGAAAGAGGAGCAAAAGAGCTTTAGTGTTACAAAAACAAGCCCATCGGTGCATGGCCGTGAAAATCATCCACACGTCTGTTCCGCATTCAGAAATCCCACGAGTCACTCCCCCACCCACCCCCCACAACAAGCCTT